ACACGGCTGCCGTGCCAGCGGGCGGCAATGGCGTGTCAGACACAGCTGCACTAGCACAGCGGCGGCGTGTGAGCCAGCGCGGCGTGCGGCGTACGCAGAAGCTGGGATGACGCGCCGTGTCGGCTTCCCAGCTGGCGTCGCAGTCTGGGTCGGCAGCTGCCCATGACCACGGGAATGGCAGAAGCCCGTAGCGCCTACCACCCCTTGGAACGCATCGCCGCCGGTCACGCCCTCCTGGCGCACTCGTCTTGACACCTGCGTCAGCGTCTTTACGGCGCTGGCGCCTGTGACTGCGGCTTCCGATGCGGCCACCAATGCCAGCTTCGTTACGGACCCCGCAGCCGACTACGGCTTCCGGCCGCGGCGAAGCCGAGTCTCGAGCAGCCTGGTGACGTCATCACGCCGAGCGCGCCGGCGAGTTGGCGAGGCGAGACGACGCGAGACGAGACGGGGCAGGCGAGGCGGGGCAGGCGAGGCGAGGCGAGGCAGGCGAGGCGAGGCAGGCGAGGCGAGGCGAGGCAAGCGAGGCGAGGCGACGATGGTCCCGTCGACCAGGCTAACCCGGCAGCGATTTCTTCATTCACATGCCGGCCTATCGAACAAACTATCTATCATAAGAAGCAAACTATCGAACGCGAGTGCAACAGGGTTCCAACTTCTAAACAACAGACGCATAAAGAACGCACGGAGGCTTCCATACTACTCGAGGGGCAGCTAATGCGATAAGCAAATCCTGTCACTTGAGGGCCTTTTTGCAAAAGTTGCCCAGTGTTCAAAGTGGAAAGAACATCACTGTCGGATACCGTATAAACGCGCTTCCACGTGGGCACAAGCGCAATGAGCCGTTCATAGACCAACACACCGAGCAGCCTCATCGGTTGACGTTTCTGTTCACTGTGCGGCCCCAGCAGGTCTGCTTCCGCCCATGACGTCACCGCCTCTCACGCCACTCGCAGTCCGCAAACGCGCCCCGGAACGCATCCGACAATGCGCTTCCAACGTCGCGAGTTTGCTAACAAACGGCGTAGTCCTTCGCCGTCACCGTTAATAATGGATACGGGTCGCCCGTGGGACACTACGCCTAACAATTTGCAGCAAACCAACAACACGGAAGCGCGGGGCGACGTTGACTCACAGGTATTGACATGGCCCGCACGGGTGGCCCTGACCTAAAAACGGTCTGCCCCGGACGACGCCAAACCCCGTCAGCCCCACAGTCCTCGGCAGGGACGGGTCCAGTGCACTGGACCCACTCCATACACACACTCCACGACAGTCCACTCCGATCCACTCCACCTTATTCCATACCGGTTCCATTGCAGTGGAGCGGTGGGCACCTGCCAGCCAATTCACAGCGCTCCGGCGGGCGTGATCACGCCGCACCTGAAACCCCTCGCGATCCCCCAGCCCACGCGCCACACCCGACCTGGGGTGGACAGCCAACGCCAGTGACTCGCTCGCCACCAGCGGCGAGCGAGCCAACCCCCGCCACCGCAACAAACACGGTCGGAGCCACACATCGGCGACTCGACACCCGCCAGCCAAACGACGGCACCGCAACAAACACGGTCGGAGCCACAGATCGGCGACTCGGCATCCGCCAGCCAAACGACGCCACCGCAACAAACACGGTCGGAGCCACAGATCGGCGACTCGGCATCCGCCAGCCAAACGACGTCACCGCAACAAACACGGTCGGAGCCACAGATCGGCGACTCGACATCTGCCAGCCAAACGACGCCACCGCAACAAACACGGTCGGAGCCACACATCGGCGACTCGACATCCGCCAGCCAAACGACGCCACCGCAACAAACACGGTCGGAGCCACACATCGGCGACTCGGCATCCGCCAGCCAAACGACGACACTGCAACAAACACGGTGGGAGCCACACATCGGCGACTCGACATCCGCCAGCCAAACGACGACACCGCACCCACAACCCTCACCAGAAGGCATACCGCCGCGGTCCCCCTCGACCACCGGCCCCCGGTCCTCCCCCAGACCACCCACAAACCAAGGAGGCACCCACAACCCTCACCAGACGGCGCACCGCCGCGGTCCCCCATCGACCGCCGGCCCCGGTCCTCTCTCAAACCACCCACAACCCAAGGAGGCACCCAGAACCCTCATCAGACGGCACACCGCCGCCCCCCCCCCCTCCCGACCGCCGGCCCCGGTCCTCTCAGACCAGGACCCGCACCACTTGTTGCGCGGGGGCGGCCGCGTAGCCGGCGCGCCACCCCGGGGCTCTCGACACGGCCCGCCGCGGGGCGGCGCCACTCGCGCCGCCGGCTGAAACGGGGGCACGTCGGCCGGCAGCGGGCCGGCGATACGCACGCGCCGTCCGCTGACCGTCGGCCAGCCCGAAATAGGCGGCGCCGCGCGCGCGCGCCCTGCCGCCGCCGCGTCGCGCTGCAGCGTTGCAGGCCGACGGGGACAAGGTCACGTGCCGAGGTGCGCACGGCCGGCGGCTCACCCGCCCGCGGCCGGCCAGCTGCGGCGGTCGGTGTCCCGGGCCGGCCGACGCCAGGTCGCCAGCGGAGAGAAGCCGCTGCCGCGGAGCGTTACGGACCATGCGCAGCGCACTGCCACGGCCGGCAGGCGCTGGGGGGCTGGAATGAACTTCCAAAGCCGCAATACTCACCCCATACCATGAGCTTGCAACGGACAACGCAGTTCAACCAGCCGCGAACGCACACGACATTCCTCGGCCGGGAGGGGTGAGAGGGCATCTTGCCAGGGCAGGACTGGCCAGTACACTCGAACCATCCGGGGTGAGAGGGCATCTTGCCAGGGCAGGACTGGCCAGTACACTCGAACCATCCGGGGTGAGAGGGCATCTTGCCAGGGCAGGACTGGCCAGTACACTCGAACCATCCGGGGTGAGAGGGCATCTTGCTAGGGCAGGACTGGCCAGTACACTCGAACCATCCGGGGTGAGAGGGCATCTTGCCAGGGCAGGACTGGCCAGTACACTCGAACCATCCGGGGTGAGAGGGCATCTTGCTAGGGCAGGACTGGCCAGTACACTCGAACCCAGGTCAATCAGTGGCTGACAGGACTGTGACGTCATCAGAAACAACCCCCGGCTGCGTCAGCCGGCGCACACAGAGGCGACGGCACACCGCTGTCATTCCGTCTTGGGACATGTAGCGTCTCGTTTTGCTACCAAAACCGGACAACCGAGACGCAGGCTAACCTTGGCGGTATCAACACGGAAAACGACAGAGCACGACCAGCCCAGCAATGTGGGTTATGACAGCACTTTGAATAGAGGATCAAAAGGCTGATGTGACTGACACCTGACATATTTCAGCTGTGATCTGCCGTTTCTCCCCAGCGACATACCAATGCCGTCAATCTGGAACAACAGCCACATCTGGCTGTGCCTGACTTGCAGGCATCAAGGAAAGGCCTCTGATGCTCCTGAACTGTAATCAGCTCAAAGCACGCGTCATCCATCCTCCCAAGTCAGACAGCTCTGTGCCAACACTGAGACTTCCGGGGCTCTTGGTCTTACCACACTGTTGTTTTTTTGTGCTGTTCAGCTTTCATTTCCGGGCGCTTTCGAAGGTTTCACGTTCGGTTATGAGCGGAACGGGCAAGAACAAGTGCAGTGACGTCATTGGGGCACACGCGCCTCGCTGGCCGCGCGCGGACATGTGTTGCCTGTCGAAGATGGTCGACGATCGAAATTCAAACTTCTGTTGAAATTTGATCAATTATGTCGTGACATCGCTTTCCTATTTCTTCTTCGCTGCCAGCATATTCGGACCAATGAGACCACCATTTGTAACATGCAGCTTTTCTATTTGTTTTCGGTTCCAACAGACCGTCCACAGTTAGTCTGGCCCAGAAATCTAGCCCGTCCACCTGAATCAATGCATCAGTCACGCCATCCTCTGCCAGAGGACGGGTATTTCAGCCAGCTCGCGGCCCGGTTTCACCAGCCAGATTCAGGAGGAAACCTCTCGGACGGATTTAGTCCTGCGAGAGTAGCGCGACAAAATATACAAAGCCACGCTACCGTCCATACACAGGACCGGCGCCAAGTAATGCGGGTGCCAACCACTCCCCATCGCTTCGGCCACGCTACGACGGCACCAGGCAGCTGCCGCGCGCGGCTGGGACGGCTGACTCAGACAACAGTCGCAGACGGACTGGGGCGGCGTTCAGTTCGGTCGTTTGTTTTGCCTTGGTCGCCACCTAATCTCAGACTTCAGCATTGTTGCGGGTAATAACAAATAAAATCCGCGGCCTCGGCGACCTTATTCAAACAGGGCACAGCTGGAATTGGTCTACGTCACGGCGCAGCTGCGAGAGACATCTATTGAGCCGATGATGCACTACTCGGGGGTCATCATCAAATATCTGCCTCGGTTGAATGAGAGCACTGTACATGATTGTCTTTTCCGACAGAATTTCCGAGAAGTTCAGCGCAGTCACAGCCCGTCAGCGCTCCTCGTTTTCCACTTCGGGCGGAAGCGAACGAAAATTCAGGGGCGGTGAACTAACAGCCAGAAAAGCATGTGCCTTGACGGAGATAAAAAAGTCCTCTAGTAGCTGCTTACGAGGCAGGGACAACTCATCGTGACAAGATGGCGCAAAATGCACGAGGCTTCTGTCACGTGCACTCCTTCGGGTGTTCTGTTAAAATCTCCTCAGCACCACCAACGCCGGCAATGCTCTTCCGCTGGGCCGGCGCCGCTGCATGCCAGACCGGGCGGTCGCCGGGCGGCGGCGCCCCGCTCCCGAGCCCGGCTCCGTACAGACCGCCCCCGTCATCCGGCATCCTAGCGGCGGCCCCGCCGAGGGCGCCGCTGTCCGCAAGGTCGCCGGTCCGGCCGACCCCCCCCCCCCCCCTCCCCCCCCCGGCCCCGCAAACACGGCGAGCACGCCGGCGCCCCGGCCGCGTGCACGCGTGCGATGCACAACACACTGGCGGCCGTCGGACGGGCCAGGGCGGCGGCGGCCAGCGGCGCGCACATGACCCACCTCGTGACGCACCAGCCGCGCCGACTGGATCCTCCTCGCTCCTCGCCAACAGCTGCTGGAGCACGCCTCTGGGAGCAGACGGAGCGGACGTTAGACCACGTGATCCGCAGCACTGGTGAACGCTATGGCTGTGCTGCACCACAGGGCGGCACAGCGCGACCGCGCGCAGCAGTACGGTCACGCACTGCAAACATGGGACGCACCAACCAAGGTTCGGCATGCTTTGGCGTTGCAACTGATACAGCGGCCGATGAGGCCTCTCATTTTAACTGACCCCACGTCGAATTTTGTTCACGTTTCTTCGCCGGCCACCAGGTGTGTTCACAATGGCACAACACAGCATCCATCATCACACGCGCACAACTCGAGCACGGTCCCAGCGGCCGTGACCACTGCGGCCTTGGCTCCACCTCCGCGGCCCTGCGAGTCCCGGCTCAGCCCGCCCCGGTCCGGCCCGCTCGCGCCGGTCACCTCACGGCACGAGGCGCCGCGCGCGCCCTGCGAGTCCCGGGTCAGCCCGCCCCGGTCCGGCCCGCTCGCGCCGGTCACCTCACGGCACGAGGCGCCGCGCGCGCCCCCCGCGGGGCCGGGCGGCGGCGGCGGCGGCCGAAATAAACAGAGCGAAGGCGGCGACGCCGGAGTCGGAACCGGGTCAGCCGGCGCGGTGCCCGGGCCGGCCGCAACGGCGGCACTACGCGCTGCGCCCGCCGCGTGCCGGCCGCTGACGTCGGCGAGGGCACGCGCAGGCCCGGCCGCGTGGGCGCGCCGCTGCGCCGGCCAGTGCCGGGTGGTGGGTAGGTCAGGGCGCAGGCCGGAGTGTGGGCGGTGCGTAGTTCGCCGGGTGGGTTGCCGGACACGCCGGTGCGTGGGCGGGTGGGCGCGCTGTGATCCGGATGGCAGCGTGATTGGGCCAGGGTGGCGATGAGAGCGGGCGACGGAGAGCAGCAGCCGGCGGGAAGTTCGGCTCGCCGACGAGTGGGAGCACGGGTGGGCGGAGGCGCGGGATGCCGAATGCGGGGGTACATGGGGTGCGTGGGGTGCCTGGGCAGGTGGCCGTTTGCGCACCCAAATACGTGCGCAAGCGCGCAAGTGTCAACAGCTTGTTGCGCGGCATGCTTACGACAGAGTGAGAGTTTGTGGAATTTATGTCCACGCGCTCAAACAACATACAGACCCAAATGCACACACGCATGTGAGCGCAGGCACCAAGGATGTATGCATCCATAAATGAGGCGTGTGTACGCCCGTAGTGAGCCTTCTACACACCGGCGCTGTGGCAGACCAACACTGAGCACGCTAGCCAGCGCGGGCGCGCGTGTAACGCCGCCGTGCGCCACTTGTCCAGCGGCCCGAGATGCAGCCCATGGCAGGGCAGCCAGAGCCTGAGCCCGGCGACCAGCGGCGCTGGCTTCTCGGCGGGGAGGGAAGCTCGGGCCTGCAGTGTGCGGCCCGAGCTGCAGCCCACTGCCCGACCAGCGGCGCTGGCCTCTCGGCGGGGAGGGAAGCTCAGGCCTGCAGTCCGCGGCCTACGGAGCAGAGCTTCCCGGAACCAACCGTCCGGCAGCGCCCGAGAGCCGCCGGCCTTGAGCGCCAGGGACGCGGCCAGCACGGCACGGGACACGTGCTCACTTCGGCTCAGCGTGGCAACCACGGCCGGCGTTTGCCAAAAAGTTGAATAAACTCGGTCAGCGAGGCCAATGGTCAAAGGGTCAAGGCCACTTTGGGCTTCCAAACATGTTCGGTGGTAACGTGATTATGACCAGCAACTGAGGTCACCGCGGCGTGCGGTGACAGATTTGAGTTCTCAAGGCGAAAACATCTGATCCTCGTCCTCACGGACCACCGTCGTGACAAAACTTTATATATATATATATATATATATATATATATATATATATATATATATATATAATACGGAATATAAATCTACAGGATCAATGCGGGAGACGCTGGAATCCCTCTAGGTAGTCCGAGGAGACCGCCGGTCAGAAGCGGAGGCGGTGTCATTATCAGGGGTCTGCAGGAGCTAATGTCATAGAGACGGGGAGGGGGAGCGGCGGCGGGGGAGACGGCGGATGGGGTCGCACCGCGTCACGTCGACAATTAGAGCATACGACATGAGTATCGTGCGAGGAAGGGGAGAACGGTCGGCGGTCCAGTGGTCACACAGCAACTCCGCGGGCGATCTATCGCCGGCTCGAGCCAGCTGACACGAACCACAACGAACGGCTCTGAACGACGGCTCCCCAGCAGCGCACCGGCTCCGTTACACGGTGTGGACTCGGTGTTCTCGTGGCGTGATGGCATGGCTTTGTGTCATTGATAACGATGTCAGCAAGAAATCATTTCGATCCAGGGGAAGAAAGGATTTGTATTATGGGGAAGAAAAGACTTGGATCATGGGGAAAACAGATTGGGATCATGAGGAAGAAGGAATTTCGATCAAGGAAGAACGGATTTAGATCACGGCTCGATCAGGCACATGCCTGCAGCTCAGCACGTTCAGTGTTCGTATTGCTACCATAAGCGCGGTGGAATGTGCGATGGGCGAGTATAACACTGGATGACAGGGGACAAGATAGAGGGGAAGAGAAACTTCACGATAAAAGTCAGCGAGAGGGAAGCATACACAGACGCATATCAGCGGCGGTAGAGCGTCTGTGAAAGGGGGGGGGGGGAGGGAGGGAAGGGGCCAATACGGTCCATACTTCGGTTCTTTCTATGCACCACCATACGACTAACGTTACATATTGCCCCGAGTCGGGGGCAGCTACCTCCATCTCACCCCTCCCTCCCCCCTCTCACCGGCACAGACATATGAATACAAGTTCATGCATGTAACGCATAAGCGAGGAGTATGGGTATGGTATGGTATGGTATGTATGTATGGTAAAAGGTATGGGAACGAGGGGGGGGGGAGGGAAGGGAAGGGAGGGAGAGGTGTCAACGATAGGAGGACGGACGTACGGAAAGCGAGGGAAATTATGTACACTGAAACAATTCAGCACAAACGAACACATTGCGAAGGCTGCCCCCCAAAGCATGCATCATCACTTAACCAGATATCATGAAGACCGGGGGAGTAGCTTGAGTCAAGAGCACGCAAAACAAGCGGAGACAACAGCAAACAAGCAGAACACTGAACAGGCGGCAATCCGGCGCGAGCGAACAGCTAGAAACAAGTGCATGCAGCACGACACAAACGCCAGAGGAAACCCGTCCGCCTGGCAGCGATGGAGCACACTACATAACCGCTGACCAGCACGGCCGGGCTTTCACCAAGGGCCCGCGGAACGCAGCCTACACTGCAGCAGAACGGTGCCAGCAACGAGCACGTGCGTGCGCGGGCCACGCGCAGAAGTGTAAAACACCACAAAGACTGGGAGTGACAGGAATCCCCATCTGGTCAACACACGGCACTAGCGTAGCCCAAGCTCGAGTGAACCACTTAAAACGCGACGACAAGCTGCACAGCACGACAGAGGAAGACACTCGCATTACAAACTGCTCTCGCACATGTCTACAGAGGCGTGCTGCCCCACTCACTCAGCGTAACGGTGAGCCAACATGCAGATCACAACCATGGCGATGCATGGCAATAGCTCTGCACGCGCAACGGGGGCGCGGGGTGTTGACCGCACGAAGCGTGGTCCACAGGGATGGCCAGAAAATGTTGCGCACGGACATGGCCCAAGTAATCACTATCTAGCAGGAAGCAGTGCAAATATATATGCACCACAAAATGTCGTGAAAACTGCACAGGAAGTCAGGATTGTTGTTCAAGGGTCAATACCAGCGCACAGGCAAATCATTCGCAGATGCCCATCAGCGTCATCAAACGTAGCGCCAGATGACGCTGGCGGATTGCCAAATCTAGCGGCGCCAACCCGTCTAACCCGCCCGGACGCCAGTCGAAAACGGTCGCGGTGACAGTGACCAGCCCCCGGGCCAGGCGTCGCGGCCCTTGGCGTCGCGGCCCCCTCCACCGAGCCGCGGTCGGGCCGTCAGGCGGCCGGCGGCGGCCGGCCCACTGACCTGCTGCTGCGACGGCGGCGCCGGCGCGTGCGGCCCGTGCGGTCGGGACGGGGCGCGCCGGCCGACTTCCGGCGCCGCCGGCCGGCCGCCGCCGGGCCGCGGCGCCGCTCAGCGCGCGTATTGATTCCGCATCGCTATGGTTATATTGATTGGCGCGGCGCGCGCAGGCCGGCGGCGGCGGCGGCGGCGGGTCGGCCACTGGCCGCTCGGTCGCGCCTCTGGCCGCTCCGACGGCCGCCAGGCCAGGTCCTGCGGCCGGCGCCCCCGTCTACCCGCGCCGCCCGGCCAGCTCCGCCGCGACAGCCCGTGGCATCTGTCGCATCGCGAGCACGGCAGACTCCCTGCTGATGCTGCTGCGGTGGTGGGGACAAGGCGCAGACCGCGGAGGATCGCTACCGGTCAGCGCCCTCTGTGGAGATCCACCAAAGAATCCACAGGAATTCGCTTCTGATCTGCGCCCTCTGCGGGGATCCGCCAAAGGGTCCCCCAGGGATCCGCCACTGGTTGGCACCCTCTGCCGGGATCCACCAAAGGGTCCGCAGGGATCCGCCACTGGTCAGCACCCTCTGCGGGGATCCACCAAAGGACCCGCAGACATCCGCCACTGGTCAGCACCCTCTCCGGGGATCCACCAAAGGATCAGCAGACATCCGCCACTGGTCAGCGCCCTCTGCGGGGATCCACCAAAGGATCAGCAGACATCCGCCACTGGTCAGCACCCTCTGCGGGGATCCACCAAAGGATCAGCAGACATCCGCCACTGGTCAGCGCTCTCTGCGGGGATCCACCAAAGGATCAGCAGACATCCGCCACTGGTCAGCGCCCTCTGTGGGGATCCACTAAACGATCCGAAGGGATCCGCTCACGAGCTCAGAGAGCCGGCAAACTTATTTCGGGTGTTGCAGTCTCCGACGATAGCTCGCGTCACCCGCTGGCGCCTGGCATCCCCTGCCGCACAGGTCAGCCGCACAGGCCTGGGGCGGGGAGCGCTCACCTGTCTAACTGATGCATAGCACCGGTTTGTCCGGGGCTGACCACACTCAACAGATGGAAATGACCCGCTCATGCCCCGGCGGCATTGCTTGACGGCAGACAAGGCGTAATCAAGAATACTTACCGGGAGGAGGCTTTAGCCTGGCTAATGAGGCCATGGGGACGGACATTACGCTGCATGCTGAAGTCAGGAATAGCAGTAATGTGCCGAAAAGAAGCACTTTTCCTTAGAAAAAATTCGCGAAAGCGTCTAAGGCCGTGTGTGCTGAGACGAAAATAATATGAAACAAAAGAAGGAACACGCGTGCATTACAGATTCAATACTCCAACGTGACCAGACATATATCCCTGACAGCTGCCGACTTGTGTTCAATTCACCTGCGCGTGATTCAAGTCAATCCTCATTTAGCCATTTCGGATG